ATTCATGTGAATATGACTGAAAATTTTCATTTTTTCTCAAAAGATGGTGTCTATTTACTTGTGACCATGCTGTGTATTGTCCTTTTATTTCTTTTTTCTTCAATAATTCCATAATTATTTCCAGTACTTGTATATACAGGGTGACCATAAATTATTGAACCACATTATTAATTGCATAGACTGAAGGCGCTGTTTTTAAAGTTTCGCACGCGTGCCCTTAAACGTAAAGTGAAAATTTCATTTTAATAAATAGGTCAAAGCTTGTGAGTTGGATTAAACTCCAACCAATAGGGTTCGTTGTTTTTTTTCTCGCCTCGGAAAGAACAGGTATTGGAAGATACAAAAAAAAATTGTGGAACACGATGTAATAGTTCAAATACCCTTTCAAGCCATTCCTGTATATAATATTTAAACGCTTTTGCGAAAAACACATTTATATCTTTCTTTCCATTTTAGTTACTCTCTCTCACTGCATCTAGCTTACATAAAAGCACAATTTTCGACATTTCGAATTGGTCACATTAAATAGAGAGAAACAAGAAGTTTTAATCTCATTTTGACTTTACATTGTTGGAGGTGGAAAGTGGAAACTGAACTATTAGAATCCCTAAATACAAAAATTAATTAAACAAAATTTGAGGTACTTGTATTGAATGAAATAACGTTTCGCTCATAAAATGAAGGCAACTAGACTGTTTACTATCCTAGTTTTTTTACTTTATGTGTACGTTGTAGCATCCAACATAGCTCGCAACTCTAGTGTTATAAGAAAGCATGTCTTAAAGAAGAATGGCGAAATGGCGAAGAATAACGACATCGTTTACCAGATATGGAAAACCATGGAGAAAAAGGCGGAGAAAACGGCTCAGGTTATCATAAGCAATATTAAAATGCCTATATTAGAGACCCTGAAAGTTACAAACGTTTCTCAGCCTTGTATATCTAGTATTTTGTCTCTGATGTCAGGTTTGACCTACACGAAAACATGGGCCGCTCAGAGTAAGTCATGAAAATTTCATTAATTATAAAATATTGCTTCTGATATAGGAAAAAATAATTACTTGCAAGAGTGTGTAAACAGAAAAATTGAGGAAAATTCAACGCCACCTGATGTGCAGCTTCTTAAAATTATAGTATGGTTATAATAATATATTTTATATGATGTTACTTAGTAAAGAGAATACCATCTAGTAACAAAAATATTACCTAAAGCAAATCAAAGAGAACATCAGTCGCGGTTATTGTAAACTGACATTAAAATGGCAATAATAACTAAGAGTGCTCACTGTTTCTTGAATCACTTAAAATTCCTTTAACATTACATTGTATATTGTAAAAAAAAACTTTTGTATTGTCTTTGACTAAGTTTATTTATTTCTGAAATTTTCTTATTTATTAGAAAATGTCAAACGTTTTAGTGAATTTAATATAAAATTCCGTTAAAATTGATGGATAACAGGAGGAGTGCTGCTGGATTTACATCGTATTTAAATGCTCATATAACAAAAAAAAAGCTAAATTATTCAAACCCTTGATTGAATCAATGCAGTTTGCTAAAGGAACTCGAGACTCGCTTACCTTTTTATGCTTTTTCTTGATTTTTTTAATTAATAAGAGTTATACAATTATCTCTATCAATAATATTTTTGAACACTGATGCTCTAAAACGAAATATTCTTCCATCACCCTGTTAAGATACTTCAGGAAGGTCGTGAAAACCGTTTGAGCACTCTCACTGTCAACCTGAAAAAGTAAAATCTTATATACTCCTATTTAGTTATATATAAATATATACTCATGTAGTATGAGCAGCGTAACACTATATCTCATACTGTACTGCTTTGGCGAATCTTTTAGTGATTGATGCATCTGGAAAGATACCAGAAGGAATCCTTCGAGGCACGATGAGTGCGTTTGGATCATACGACGAGTGTGTTAGTATTAAAGCTGATGTAGAAAATTTTCGAGGACAATACTGCACTGTGGAATTTCACCCACATTTACCTCCAGCACCCCACTTCCAAAGCATTGCCAAAGGTCTAGATATCTTTCGAAATTTCACAGCGCCAGACAAGGTGAGTCCATTCAAACACGACATAAACGTTATACTGAGCACATGAAGATATTTATCTGTCTATATGTTTATCTCATAAATGAGAATTATTTACTATCGAACTAGCGACGCTCGTGTTTTGTTTTTAATCAACATCTCAAAAACTAAATCATATTTATATAGATGTTAACACTTGTATTATCAACGAGAGTCCAGAGACACATCGGCTTTTTAAACACATATTTCGAAGTTATTTATGCATAGCAAATTCCTCGTATGTTCATGACTCTGCTTGCCACAGGGTCTCTAATAACATACAAGTCTTATCAAAAATAGGCCCGGCATGGCCAGGTGGATAAGGCGCTCGACTCGCAATCTGAGGGTCGCGAGTTCGAATCCTCGTCCCACCAAACATGCTCGCACTTTCAGCCGTGGGGGCGTTATAATGTCACGGTCAATCCCACTATTCGTTGGTAAAAGAGTAGCCCAAGAGTTGGGGGTGGGTGGTGATGACTAGCTGCCTTCCCTCTAGTCTTACACTGCTAGGCCCTAAATTAAAATCGTTACTAAACAAAAATTATTTAGAATCACACAATACCAACGTCATTTACAAAA